TTACAAACTGCTTTACATTTTACGCATGATAGTCCATTTCACATGCGATTACATGAGTAATGTGTGTCCACATGTGAAGCTGCATTTCACCAGGTTATGCAGTAAATCCTTGTGACATCATGTAAACAATGTGGGATCACATGTGACAAATTAACATGGAAAGAAAATTCATGTTAAAAATAAAAACACGAGCACAATGTGAAAATGAATGAATCATGTGTAAAAAAAAAAAAAAAATCTCATGTCAGGAAAAAATAAAGCTTGTGAAAAAAATCACATGAAATATAAAACATGCACTATATGGGAAATAATAATAATATGAAAATAATCATTCTCATGTCAAACTAAATGAAGCATGTGAAAAAAATCCAAACGTGAAAAATGAATGAATTATGTGGGGGAAAAATCACGTGAAACCTAAACACATGCACATGTGATGATAAATGAATCATCTGTTAAAAAAAAAAAACAACGTAAAAATAAAAGAAGCATATGAAAAAATGTGGGGAAAATGAACATGAAAATTAATAAATCATGTGTAAAAAACACATAATCATGAGTTAAAAAAAAAAAAAAGAAAACACATGCACAACATGTCCACATGTAGAAAATGTATGAAACATAACACGTCTAACTGAGGTGTGAAAATCATGTGATTATTCCCACGTGAAATTTGCTTGACTTTTCTGTATTGGACCTCAACTGAATTGGCATCAAAGCATAGAAATTGACTTAAATAAGAGAAGCAATAAATCAAATCAGCATCTTATCCAATCAAATACAATACAGAAAGCTTACTTATAAACCCAGAAAAATACATGAAGAAGATGGAAGTAATAACAAATCAAAACACAACATGGTTTCTGGGAAGCAAATCCTCTCCTGGTCCAAAACAGAACAATGTGTTTTAATGAATAATTAATGATGTTACAGCACACCGAACCATGCCAATGTCAATATCACCCTGGCCGTGATGGGAAAAGCTCAGGCTGAACCGATCGACCGAGCCAAGCAGAGCCAAACTCAGCCAATCCATCACACGCAGCCGTCTCACATGAGGTGCAGCAAACTTGCATCATACACTTTATTTACCAAGCAATACTTACGTCTATTTTTGGTGGCCACCATTGACACAGACATTCTCCTTCCTAGAGCAATAAATTTACTGACTTTTTGAGCTAGTATACAGAGCTAGTTAGCAAAATCAACAAGTCAAGACACTGTGCTATGATTTAAACAGGCAAGAGGAGATAAGTGCCCTGATTAAATATTACTTCTCTGCTGTAAAATCTCCTCATATCTATTCAAACAGTTACACACTGAGAGAAACCTAACCCCCACCTCTCCCCTCCCCACCATCATTAGCGAGTAAAGCACAACAACAACAAAAAAAACATGCTCTCTTACCTGGCTGTTAGCTTAGCATCACCCAAGCAGCATGTTTACACCACATATGAAAGGTTGGTACCTTTAAATAATAGTTAACACACAATCCTATACTTTGAAAGTCAAAAACAAATCGAAAACAATCAAATAAACACTTAAAAACTTGCTGCAGAGATTCTTTGCTAACTTCTTTGCTAACTTTCCTCCACTCAGGAATTTAGTACTAGCTAACCTTGCTAGTCCTGTTTTAGATACTACAAAACCTCTGACTTTTTTTTTCTCATAATTTAGTAAGAAACAAAGATCTTAAAGCTGAAAGGATTTGTGCAGTAGTGAGAATGTGAGAGAAGTCTATATTGTGTGAAAGAGCCGGAGAGCGTTAGCACGAACTGCTACTGTGTGCCGCCTGATGGCTTTATTTATTGCAGTAAATGACTAAGGTGAGTCTCACTTGGTGAATCAGCAGGTGTCAGATCTCGGCAGCAAAGAAACAGCAAAGCTGAGTGGGCACACACACACACACACACACACTCATACACTTTTGTAGTCTCTGAGGAGCACTCCACCTTTGCTAGCGCTATGTGGGCTGATTCCAGAGGCGCCCACTGAAGAGGCATGATTCACCCAACCCTCTGTGCATATGTGTGTGTATGTGTGTGTGTGTGTGTGTGTGTGTGTGGTAAATAAATGTAAAACAGTGATTAGCATGTTGCTGTCTCTCACTCTCCCTGCCCAAGCCACAGCTCCTCGTAATATCCATCAGAACGCCCTGATCCACCCTGTCTAACCTGTCTAGCTGAGGTTAGAAGGCTCTATGAAATGTATCATGGGTAATCCTTTAATACACACTGTCTGCTTCTACACTTAGCACGTCAGACATCAACCACAGGAGGTTTGAAGCATCTGTGGGAAAGTCTCACTGCCCGGTAATCAAAATCATTACTTGTCACAGGTGGACAAATCATAATAAATTCATTAGCTAGATCACTAGGTACGTCAAAGCCCAGAAAACGAAATTACAAGGCTAAAAGTTGTTGCTGACGTAATGTAATAACATATGGTGAGAGATAGATAGTTAAGTGCATTAATACTGACATAAAAAAGTATATAAATTCCTGTGTAGGAGATGACTGGGCCTTTTCTAAGAAAGTTTTTTTTAAAGTAGCACATTGTGTTTGCTTTAAAAAAAAAAATGTCAGCAAGTCATTGGCCAGCATTTGGCTTTGAGCTGTGGTGTTTTCTCACATAAGAGATGTTATTCAACTCTAGCTAGCGTGTTTATTTTTTCCTCTAAGTTTACACTTTCTTGCCAAATGAAAAAGGCTGAAAAAATTAAAAATATATTTGGAAAATCTCGAATGGTTTATATCATGTTAGTGTCCTTAATGGGAATTTGGAATGGACTTAAAGGTTTCCATTAAAATTCCTGAAGGTTTCCATTAGGAATTTTATGGTTACTATGAAACACAGCCAATACCCAATAGGACCTACTTTCACGGGTTGATGATTACTATGCAAATAAGATAAGATAATCCATCAGGAACCATTAGGAACATCATATTCCATTAAACTACCATTACAGATAACCAGAAACACAATAACAAGTCACTAGAAATGGTTTATAATGATTTTTTTTACTATCAGCAGGATAGTACCATAAAAAGACCCGTTAACAGGCAGACATATACTTAAGACTCGTAAACAACAAAAAAAAAGCAATTAAATAAACATTTTAAAAAGTTCAGTGCTTCTTTGCTAAATGTTGTGAGCTCTTTGCTAAATGTTGTGTGTTTTGTTGTGGCTAATTTGGCTACACTCTCAGAAATGGCTAAATCGAGCTCCCTAAGGGAATTTTTTGATTTGTTCTTTTGGGGAAGCCTTTGTTACAGAGGGATTTTTCTTATGCAGAAGGTTTCAAAAAGAACCTATTTAGAAAGCTAGAGCACTTAAATATATGAAGAACCCTTCAATAATCTTCTTTTTCTAAGAGTATAGTCCTGCTTTAGACAGGACTCTAGACTTACTTTTTTCTCTGACTGAGAAATTATTTACATATCCCAAACTCTAATACATGGCCAATAAACAGAAACACTTGTGTAAATGAGACACTGATGAGAGTCCTCCTGCTCCTGTGGATGCCTAATTTCCAACCAGGAGTGCACATGCTTCTGGAGCAAAAGTCACGAACCAAACAGACACTGTCCAGAGGATACAGGAGGGAGCACAATGAGTCACAAACAAGCATCCGGGAAAGGAAAAAAAACAAAAAAAACAGCCTGCATATTCATTCTGCATTATGCAATAGTAAATGTGAACTACATCTGCAGCTGAATCATAAGCAGCGGTCCATGCGTCTCATGGCAACAGCAATTATTTATTCTATTAATAACGGCGCTCATACATACACCACCATGCACTTTTTTTTTAATAACGAAACACAAACATCTTTCCTATTTAATTTTATGTTGCGTCATGTATTGATGCTGCATTTGCTCGTGATTGAAAGACCTAAGGTCTACTTAGACTATTTATGCTATTTATTCTATGTCAAGTTCTGTTCACTACCCCTAAAAGTTCCCATTTGATATTTCTTTATATATATTTACATTTTTCCCCCCATCAGCCATCAGCCAGCTCTCCGCTATCAACCGGGAAGGGTGAAGTCAGAGATACGTGAAGCCAGCCATCTCATTTCTCTTTTCAAACTGCTCCTCATGCTGTGTCACAGGGCAGCGGAGGAAAGCGCTGTCTACCCTCTTCCACATACATGACCTCACAGATGCCCGCAATTGGTTACTGTTGCTGTGATTGACAGGCGAGAGAGAGCTAGAGTATACTATCCCTCCCACCCAGACAGCACAGCCAATTTAACTCTCTCGGACTCCTGGCCATGGATTGCTGTTGCACAATTAAGAGTAGGTGAAGCGTTCCCTGGAGAGAATAACAGCACTGAGTTTCCTCCTGTGATAATTAACAAGGTTGTAAAACACTTGCACATGTAGAATATTTCCTTCTTTATATTGTCAGGTTTATGTATGTATAGAACTACAGGTTTTCAGTAGGGTTTCAATAGGGTTGGTATAGTATGAAAAAACATACAAGACGTGGATTTTTTTTAAAAATAAAAAATTTAAATAACAAATGCTAATTTAAGTACTTTATGTAGGTCTTTAGTCATCATATGCAGAACGCCAGTGACTCAGAAGTTCATTCCACCACCTAGGCTCCAGAACAGAGAAGAGCATTGATGCATGCCTGCCTTGTACCCTGAGAGATGGTGGGTCCAACCGAGCAGCAGTTCCAGAGGATCGGAGGGAGCGTGATGCAGAGGGGGGGGGTGATAAAAGCTTTAAGGTAGATGGGTGCTGTTCCATTTTTGGCTTTGTAGGCAAGCATCAGTGTTTTAAATCTGATGTGGGCAGCTACAGGAAGCCAGTGAAGGGAGTGTAGCAAGGGGGTGATATGGGAGAACTTGAGAAGGTTGAAAACAAGTCGTGCAGCTTCATTCTGGATCAGTTGCATTGATCAAATGGTGCGCAGAAACAGACCTGCCAGGAGCGGGTTGCAGTAGTCCAGTCTCAAAATGACAAGGGAATGAATAAGCACCGTATAGCGCAGTGGTGGCCAAGTGGTTAAGACGTTGGACTACTGATCGTCGTGAGTTCAAATCCCAGCACTGCCAAGCTGTCACTGCTGGGCCCTTAAGCAAGCCCTTTAACCCTGTATAAGGGCCTTGTATAAATGAGATAAATATAATTCACTCTGGATAAGGGCACCTGCCAAATGTTGTAAATCTAAGCACCTGTGTGTATAGAAATGGACGAATCCTTCTGATGTTGTAAAGGAGAAGCCGGCATGAGCGTGTCAGTTTAGCAATAATTTCTGTTTTAATTAGGGTCACTCTCTTGTTGAAAGATCAATCGATAAGCAAGTCTTAAGCTCCTGGCAAAAGAAACCAGATCAGCTAAAACATCCTGGTACATAGCAGAATTCATGATTTTATCACTCTTCTTAAGAGCCCATGGAACACAAATCGTAAACAGCCCCAAATCATCAGTGATCCACCTCCAGTGGGTTGGGATGTTTTTCCACACGAGCAGCCATTTTCATGCAGCACGTTAGATATTTATAAGCACACACAACAAGTTTCATGTTGAAATTCTCTTTTAGCATTATAACACTCTTAAAAGGATTTACAAAAGGTCATTACAGGATAGAATATTTAAACTAAATTCAGGCCAATCCAGTATTATAATCTGTATTCATACTGATGTCGGCTGTGTCCAGACCTTCACGTCCTCTCCTGTCAAATGCACACATCAGATCAGCATCTAATATTACACAGTTGTCAGTGAGTAGGATATTCATGATGCATGCTGACACACGACCTCGTTAAATTGGTGTCTGGCGGCACGCCTCTGTGTGAACGCTCAATTAACTGGACGTGTCTGCATCGGCAATGAGGACGTGGGATGGGAACGATTTGCATATTTACTGCTATAAAAAGCAGACAGAAGGGTAGGGTTATATTGCGTTAAATCATTTTATACCACAGCGCTGTTGAATTCTCGAATCTGATTGGTCACAAGGTGTTGAAATTTCTATAACACCAGGCAGGAACAGGAATTCTGGCTGTAATTCAAATCCCACTTTTATATTAATGTGCTCATTCTAATATGTTATTGTTTCTATAGTAACAGCTCACTCACAGGGACTTGTATGGTGGACTCTCCACGTAATCTTATACTAAAAATAAACGGATTTTTAAAATGTGCTGTTTTATATAACAAAGGAAAGCTTACATTCACTGATATGGTATATCTGTTAGGAAAAGTCTATTTAAGGTTGATGGAAGGAGTCTCCATTGTCATTGCTTTGTAACAGTTTTCCACCACATGAAAGTCTTCAGGACAAGAGGAATTTACACATTCACATGAGAAGCTGCATTTTTTTCCACTTCTTATCTTTAAGAGAAAGCAAAAAGAGAGGCTGGTGAGGGAACAACTGTTCATAGATGCTATAGCACTTGTCTCGTGGATGTTCCACAACATTAAACGTAAATATAAATGGTTAAAAAGCACAATGTGCCATAACACACCACCTGTTATGGATTATTTTCCTATAACAACATGGCCCAAAATGTTTTATTCCCTACTTATGTGGTGCTTTTGTAAGAATGTCACAGCTATCATCAACACTTTTAAAATATAATTGCTAACTAGTTACTCATAGTGAAGTGTTGTTTTTTTCTCACCAATTGTTTCATTATTTTTTTCTTTTTCTTGTTTTTCCTTGTTTTAAATTAAAAATCACTTAACTGTTTAGGTATGTGCTTGGATTTTATCAATACTTCAGCATTTTATAGTCCAATTAAATAGTTTAAAAGCCATATATTGCAAGAAGCACTTTATTGTTACATCTGCACAGAGAGAGTGGAATATGAACAACACACACACACACATACACGCGCACACACATACACGCGCACACACATACACACAAAGTGTTGCTAAGCAATGAAAATAAAAATGAATGCTACTGCAATTACAGCATGACAACTTTGTAATGGCTTCAATCCCCTTTCTTTCTTTCTCTCTTTCTCTTTCTCTTTACTTTCAGTTTTCCATACACCCTGCTGTGCAATAAGGCGTCAGTTGGAAGAAGAGGGAAAAAAAAAACACAAAAACAGGCTCTTCCCTGGTGATTTCTTTCCCTGGTCTTTGTGGCTGCAAATGTATTAATCCCAAGATTATTAAATCTGCAGCAAACGAAACTGCTGCAAGCCATAAATTTCCACTTTAATATATTTATTGTATAATTAAACATAGTTACAGTATATGTTTTCAGTATGTTACAGTGTGCTCAGAATAAATTCAGCATGTTTAACTAATCATTGATATGGTGAGGTTTTCTTTGAGGAGACTTTTATTTAGCGTTTTTTTTTTTCCCAGGAGTTTCCAGCGCTTGTCTTGTTTTTACTTCCTAGCTTCCAACAGGTCCTACTTCCTGTTTTCCTTCTTCTCCATCATACTCCAGATCACTATAATTAATCTCAATTTATCTCACTAGACAGTGTATATATCCCTGTGCTATTTGTGTTTCTTGCTAGTGCTAAATCATATTTCCCAAGGTTCATAATGGACGCATGGGTGATGTTTTGAGCCCCGTATGAACGGCTCACACTTGCGTCCACATGCTACATCCACAGGGTCCTATATGTTACAAAATTAAAAATATCAAGTGTAAAATCTGTCTCCTCCATCAGCACCACATCCCAAGACAAATCTTTAAGGATGTGATATAGAATCACCTGTAGGACCGAATTACGGCATTAATGTTACTCCAATCCCTCGGGGTTTGATATCTAAATTACATCGAGCTAAATTAAATGGAGCGAGTGTTAACCAATGCAGTGGTACTGAAGAATGTCGGGCCTCCTGAGAGGTTTTCCCGAATGAGAGCTGACTTCTTAATTGAGCGTGAAATCGCAGTGTGGATGTTTTGATTAGACTGTTAATGACAGCAGAGGAAAACAGCACTACAGAGGAAAAGTTATTACAGGAAATAAATTCAGAGCACTGTACTGTATGTCACGAGCTAATATTGATGAAGTGCAGAGCGTTGACAGGAACTTGACTGGTAATTTGATTAGTCATGAGTGTACGGCTGTGTAGTTTTATATTTAATGATGACTCGGCTTCGGATTTGTAACAAGAAACTATGTAGTGCGTGTGTGTGTGTGTGTGTGTGTGTGTGTGTGTGTGTGTGTGTGTGTGTGTGTGTTACGTCAGGATAAAAATTGGCATTTTTACTGTGTATACTCAGAACTTCATGCAATGAGATGGTGATTTAAGTTCAAGAGATATGTCAATATTTACGCAGGGAAAGTTCCTCGTATTCAGAGTTGGGTTACGCACGTACTGAAGTTGATTTTCTGAGTGTCCCTTTCAGAATTCATGACACCAATGTTTTTCTTGACCTAATTCATAATTTGACCATTAAACTCTGGTCCTTGATACAAGTAATGTCCTTTAAAAGGATATGCTACTATTATTAATTGAATTAAAAGTTGTCATTAATATTGGACATCAGTAGCTTTTAAATTTATGAATACAAGCTCCTCTCTTATTTAAAATGCAATTATATAGTTTTGCAATGTCGTTTGAATTAGGTATAATGATTTGATTATGTTATTTAATTACATAATAGGATTTTGGGTGACTTTTAATTGATAGATATTTACATTAGCCTCACAGCGTCATTTAATTTGCGCCAGAAAATGCTAGAACAGGATTCGGCACCTCCCAGCTTTGAATCATTCGGATGAATGACTCGTCATTTCAGTAATGGCCATAATGAGTGGCGTACTCACGTTATCAGTCATGTACTCATAGGTCGTGGATATGGTGAAAAAAAAGGCAGCTGGCTTTGTATGTAAGAAAAAATGATGGGGAAGAATAAAATGCTAAAAAAGCAAGGGAGGCTTCGTTTCTGTTTCTGGAACTTGTTGGTCCATCACTCATAAAATTCAAACCTGGCACAGTGAAGGTGGTGCAAAAGAAACGTGTTCACCCTATTGTCTGGAGGTAACGAGTTTGAATCCCGACGATGCTACAGCCACGAGCCAGGGGAGCAAAATTAGTCGGTTCTCTGGGTAAGCGTGATGGCATACTCTCTCCCCTGTCAGTCACAGCGACACTAGCCAATCACAGGCATCTGTGAGCTCATGTATGTGGGAGAGGGCAGAAGTTTTACTAATTAAGCACTGCTCATAGCTCCAGTGTAAACTTAAGAGACAATAACTTCCTTCTGGATATTTGTGTAAATTTGATTCTTCATTCTTTCCAGTTTTACTTTGAGTGAGGTATTCACTGTCTCATTTTACTTTACAATCCCATAGTGCATTGCAGCCGAGCCAGGCTGTGCACTGTGAGGTCATTTGGCCTCTTTGCAAGCAGTTACACCCGCCTGAAACTAACCATGACATTCACACACACAAGCACACACACACACACACACACACACACACACACACACACACACACACACTCCCACACACGTACAGACATACACACACCTACACACACACACACACACACACCACACACCATGCAGCAGCAACATGCTCGGCTCTTCTTGGAGCTCTGATGTGGGTTTTGGTGCATCAGATGACGCACAAATAAACCACACACAATCACGACTAACACACACACACACACACACACACACATCGGTCCGTCATTTAGCTAGTGTTTACATTTAGCAATGTATAATTTTCACCATGTATACTGCTTGTGTGTTTTTAAAAATAATCAAAACATGTATTTAATCTACAAAATACCATTTTGTAATTTGTCATTCAATGGCCATATGTGAATCATTAAGCAATTTGAATCAAAATGCTTTACCTAAATCCAGTATTCATAAAGCTATATGACACCTACATAACCCCTTTCTGACAACTGACAAAAACCTGCATAAATATTTTCTAAACATGTATTCCAAAAAACATCACGTGTCATAAAGACAGCTTTTGTCAACGTTAATGTCAAGTTGATGTAAGACCAGAGGCAAATGACTCGATGCTGTTGTTGAAGTGTAATGATCACTGTCACTGTCAAAACCTTCACCGTATAAGAGTGTTATAATGTCTCATAACATAACCTTATGTCAACAATTTG